AACACAACCTTTAAAAAACTTGATCTGCCACCAAGCACTTTCTATTTACTGGACTTCAGCGGACACAGTTCAGAAATCAGAACACAAAAATTCCTCATGGAATTTATTGTGGCACTCAGCTTTTGCACCCAAACAAAACAATCAGGCACACACTGCCAAGAAACATCCACGCAGCTTCAGGGCACCAGCAAAGGGCTGCTACGTGTAGGGCTTCTCTTCAACACTCTCGGGGCTCCTACCAGGGTGGAATTCTTGAACTCGCTAAAGCATTTGCAGATTACACGCCTGTCCGGTTAAACACTTCCTGCAATTTTGTTAATTATACATCAGGGTCTGCAATTAGGGAATGACTCCCATCCTAGACAACACACAGCTCTCAAGTCACCCCCCAGAGTGTGTGTGTCTACTGCCGTTTCTGTAGATGCCTCTGGTATGTATGCTATCATCCCAGACAGGAAAATACTTTCAAAACTTGAATAGAATGTGCAGTTCTACCGCTGGATGGTTTTCCTTTTCATTTTTCAGTGCTGTAGACCGCTTGTTTAGGTCAATACACATTTCTGTAGGTGGGGATGGAGATCTCCGGGAGCAGACAAGTGCAACCCCAAGTTCAGGGTCCCTTTCCGTGTCCATCCCTTCCAGAGGCAGCCAAGCGCAGGCTTTCACACCAACCATCCCCCCTCCACATCGGCGTTATCCTCCGCTGTCAGCAAAGCCACCACACGCGGCCTTTTTCTTCTTTCCCTCTTGATTCGTCATCAAGATGTAAATTAACAGATTCTCTCACAGACAGAAAAAAACCGAAAAACCCATCGAACAATGGGAAACACTTCCCCGCCGGTGCCCCACAGGACAGAGGGAAACAGGATCCCCTGCGCTGGGGGAGTTACTCAGTGGGGATCAAATGCTGCTAAAAATACGGGAGCGGTGCGAGCGGGTCCGGGCAAAGCCCGGGCAGGGCCCGCGGTCCCCGTCCCGGAGCGTCCCCGCGCCAGACGGTGATGTCACCGCCGGCGGCAACAAAGGACGCGGCACCGGCCGGGCGGCCCCTGCCCTCCGCCCCGCCGGCGGCACCGCGCCTCCCGCCCGCCCGCCCGGAGCGCCGGCACCGGCCGAGACAAAGCGGCTTCCCCCGCGCTACGTGCGGGCGGAAAGGGAGAGGTTCGGGACGCCCAGCGCCGGAGCGGCGGCGGCGGGGAGGCGGCGGCCCCCGGGGCGGTGCGGGCCGAGCCCCGGGCGAGCGGCCCCGCGACCCCCGGCAGCCGCGGCGGGGCCCCGCTGCCCCCGGCCCGATGCCGCCCCCTCCCTTACCTGATATGGCGGCGGCGGCTCCTGATCCGGCTCAGCCCCGTCTCCGTAGCTAGCTCTGTCCGACTGGGACTCGTGGAGCAGCGAGATGTCATCCGAGGTGGGGGACTTGAGGCAGTTCCCCATCTTCCCGGGGGGAGCGCGGCCCCCCGTCCGCCTCCTCCCGCTCCGGATCCGCGCCCTCAGCCTCCCCGCCGCAGCGCGCAGCCCGCAGCCGCCCCGCCGGGGAGGCTCATGCCAGCCCCGGCCCTAAGCGGCTTAGCAGCTGCAGCCCGGCAGCCTCCCGCTCCGCTCCGCAGCCGCCCCGACCCCCGAGCCGGGGGGGGCGGCAGGACGGGCCTCCCACCCCCCGTGGGGCAGCGGGCTCCGGTGGGTCCGCCCGCCCCGCGGCTGCCCGGCGCGGTTCTGCTTCCCGGTCACCAGCTCCCTGCGCACTGGGCTTTGTCGCACGGGCCGCCCTGGCTCCTCCTCTCACCCCTCCCCGCCGGGCCCGGGGAGCAGCCGCGGGGCCTCGCCGGGCTCCGCGCCCCCCGGCTCCGCCGCGGGGACAGCCCTGCCCGCCCCCGACGGAACGAGGCGGGACGGGACAGGCTGGGGGACCCAGCCGGCTGCTGGGCTCCCCCGGCCCCAAAATGGTGGGAGCCGCTTCGCTCCGCCCCCGAGCGCCGTGTTTGTTTGTGTTCCGGGCATGGCGGAGCCGGCGGCCGCTCGGGCCCGGCGGGGCGGGACGGGGCGGGATGGCAGCGGGACCCCCGCGGGACCCCCGCACCACCCGGCCCGCCCGGCTGAGGGATTTGTGCGGGGCCTAGCGACCTCCCCAAGGGTTCCCCCGCGGGCGGCTCCCCAGGCAGGGCGGGGGTTCCCCGTGCTGGTCGCTGGCGTGACCCAAGGAGCACGGTCAGTGTAGGCACAGGGCATTGAAGCCCAGAGTGGAGCAAAATCAGCAGCAGGGACTTGGCTTCTGCGTTTCTAAAGGTTTTTTATGTTATGAGCAGGTACTCCAATAAGCTGTATATTTAGCGCCTTTTTTTTTCTCCATAAAAATATGTCCATACTTGGATATAAGCATAGGTGAGTACTGATAAATGCAAATTTGAGGACAGTGAATGTTCCTGTGTCACTGTGTTAGTGTGCCAGCACTGACCCACACAGAGTGGAATATATGATGGTCCTGTTAATGTTCTTTGGTTCCTGAAAATTCATCCTTGGCCTTCAGATTCACACCATGGAAAATACTTTAAAATCCAATTTTTAAAGTGAAGTATTTTTTAAAGTGAAGCAAATGTGGTGCAGATGAGAGCAGCTGCAAAGTCCAGTCTGTAGGCAGTACAGCGTGGCTGCTGCTTATCACCAAGTTCTCTGCTGATACAGCTCGGGCCTGCTTTGCACCTTCTTGGGTCAGAGTATCTCCAGACCTGTTGTCCACAGTGACGTATTTGGCTCCACAACCTTTGCTGGTGGACCTCAGTCTGGGATCAGAATTTTTGCTGATTATCCTTATGAGTTCGTTCTTACAGATTTCATTTTATTGCAGTTTAGGGTGGTTTGTTTTGCTGCTTATCAATTGGTAACTTAAACAACCCTGGTGTAAAGCCTGTGATTGCTGCCATTTTTGGTGTTCTAACACAGTCTCGGGCTTTTCAAGGAAACTGAAACTGAAAATGGGGCAGGATTGTGAGTGTTGCTCAAGATAGTGAGGCTTTGCAATGGTGCATTGTAAATAGTGAGTGTTGTACGTGGCTTGCTCATTTGGGTGTTTATCCTATGAGTCTGTTGGCTTGGTTTAATAGAATTAGGCAAGCAATTGTTGGAGGAGATCCAGCAAACCACTGCCTCACCCAGTCGTGATTTCAAGGTTAAGGCAATGTCAGAGCTGTCTGCTGTGAGAACCTGGTGATGAAACTCCAGCGTTGTCACTGGTATTTTCAGTTGGGCAGTGGCTCCACTGGGAATGAGATTATGGGCAGCTAAAAGACTGAGTTAGCTGTTCTCATATTTTGTTTTCTCTGTGAGGCTGGGGCCTGTATCGTTGATGTAGTTCAGTGAAAACCACAGGTCACACTGTGCCGTGGTGTGAGGCTGTGATCACAGTTTGATCCTCCACAGCGAGGAGGTCCTATGGAAAACTGTGGTGCCTCCCTGCTGGCTGACGTGCCAAAATAGCCTTTCTCTGGAAACCAGAGTGCAAACTGGTCTCATCCTGATATGCAGTCAGGACATAAGCGGGATTTCCTCTGCATCTCATGGTGGAGATGTTGCATTTATTTACCTTGAGGCCCGTCACCAGAAGGAATAGCTGTTAATCCCAGTTACAACTTTTCCCTTAGTGGGTACAGGATGCTCTGAATCTGGACATGTTTGAAAAAATGCAGACTTGTCAAGTGCCAGAAGAGACCTGCTTTTCATGGTGGACTCACAGAGACTAAAGAGGAAGCAGAGGTTCATGTTTGACCTTGCAACAAGACAGACTGCACCTGTGAGAGCTCTGAAGGGGAAGAGCTACTACCAGTCATGCCTGGATCCTTTGAAGTAAGGGTGGTTGAAGGCACTGCTTTTGTCAGCCGTTCACTCCTGTTTTGTCAGATAGGTCGTTAATAGTGGCTTTGCACCACTGGCTCAAAAGCTGTAAAAAGGTCCAGCAGATGGAAAATCGAAAAATTTTAGTGTTCACAAATGTTTTTTAATATCCCTGTATATGCTGAGGTGTAGCTGTGAGCCTGCTCCTTTTGCTTTTTGCAGGTTGGGGACAAGGAAGCAGAGGAATGGGTCCTCAAAGGATGGGATTTATGAGTATGGTTTCTTTGTTTTAGCAGAGCCATAGGGCAGCTTAACTTCAGTTCTCTTTGGTTTTTACTTCCTCTGCTTAGTTTGGGGAAGAAGTAATAGTCAGAATGGATTTTCTAGGGCCTTAAAATGCTTCTATAGAGGAAGAAAGATTCATGTTGTGGCTTAGGGCTGCACAAATACTACAGACGGAAAAGATCATGCAAATAAAAAATTTGTGTCAGACTAATATCAATACAGAACTGGTAACACAAGTCAATGAAACTTTTTCTCACCTCTAGACATTTAAACAGTTGGCTGTAATCTGTTGTCAGAGTGGAAATGTTTATGTTCTGAAGTTTGCCAGTGTACAGAATTCATGTTCTGGTACACTTCAATACAACAATGTCACACGGGGTCTGTCCTCACCCCCTTCTGGCAGCTACCATCTTCTCAGTGAAATCCATCTTTCAAAACAGAATGGAAATTCAAGAAAAAGAGCTTTAAACTATGCAGACAAAGTTTATGTTTTATTTTATAGGCTTTTGATATGAGAGAAGGCAAGTGACATATTGATGTATTCTTGAGGCTCATACAAGATAGAGATGAAGAACTGTTTTACTGAAAAATCCATTTCCTTTTGAGTTAAGAATCTAAAATCCTCTGAGGACATAAAAAGTCCTTCTTGTTAGGAGTTCCTCTACAAAATTGACATCATAATTTGCCTAATTTTTAAATGAAAGACCCTTTGATAACACTATTTTATGTGATCCATGTTCATGTTATTGTTGGACAACATTTTGGATATATTTAATATGTCATGCTTAACAAAAGTTTTTGAAAGACCTTTTCTGTCCTGAGCATGGAAAAGTTTTTTCACTTCCTTTTCTTCCATCAAGCTTATTTTCCCAGCACTTATCATCTCTCATTAGGTCTTATCTTTCTTCTGGATAGGATTGTTTTCCCAATTCATACACAGAAGCCCAGTTGATTTCTGAGTGCAGTCTTTCCATGCCATGGTACCCAGAGGTTCAGAGATAACTCTGTTTGCTCGGGTAATGTTGGCGAATAGAACACAATGCAATTTTAAAACCTTTTTCTGGAAGAAAAAAAAAAAAGGACTTTGTATACCTCTGGAGAATGGAAGTAAATTACATTCTTCCATTATGTATGTGAATCTGATTATGAAGATGGTGGAATTAATTTATCTGGTTATAAAGAACATGGCATCTTCTAAAATGCACATGATTATTTTTAGTTTTGTTGATTTTAGCTGAACTGTAGATGTTTCTCAGTGTATGTTACAACTGCATATTGCTTTCTGAGGCAGAGTGAATGCAGCACTGGAAAGCAATTATGGAACTAATATATTTCCCTGAAATGTACTTTGTGATGCAGGATTTTACTCATGTTTCTAAAAATTACTTAAACTTCTGCCTAAATTATCCTGGTATCACAAATATGCCACTTATATCAATTTATCCCAAAGATACCATCTTGGTAAGGGGAAGTATTCCATGACTGGCAAGAATAACTTGTTTTCCATAATAACGATTTTCCCCAGGTCCAAAATGTTTGTTTCAGCCAGGAGTGTAATGTCTGCCTATTCTGTGCACTGGGGCACCTGCACTGTAAGCCACAAAGAACAGAAAGAACATGTATTTTGGGACTAAAACACCCAAGCAACAAAGCAGACAGTCATCATACAAAGGTAACCTCTTCAAACAAACCCTCTGTCACCCAGCTTCCTGGGGAATTTTGTGTAGGATTTTTTTTTCTCCTTGTACCACATGTTGCTGTAGTCTCAACTTCAAGAATGATCAGAGACCTATAAAACATGATCTAAGGGGGAAGATTGAAAGAATTGGGGTTGTTTAGTCTGAAGAAAAGGAAGGTGTTGGGAAAAATGGTAATGATCTTTCAAAAATATAAAATGTTTCTCTGCAGAGAGAAGGAATCAGTTTTTCTTTATGTTCAGTCGGTCTAGGGCAAGAGGTGATGGACTTGGAGATTTAAAGTAGATATTGGGAAATTATTTCAAACTGAAAATGTAGTTTGGCAGTGAAAATGATTATCTGAGAATCTCATTTGCTGAAGGCTTTGAAAGGCAGATTAGGTCACATGTTTCAGGAATGGTTTTAGTTGCAGTAGATTATATGGAGATAACCCCAAAAGGTTCCTGGCTGGTTTATGATGTTTTGTTTCTCTCAGGTGATTTACAGCAGATGCTTTACTGCTGTGTTATTTTGATTCTCATTCTTCCTTATGCTCTCAGAAAATGCCAGTAAGAAAAGATGTCAGCAGTTTAAAAATTGAGTAAGTAGGACGGGTGGGGATGTTTCCAATGGCAGAGTACTAAGGAATCTCAGCTCCTTCAGGAAAGCTGGTGTGCTTGGGCAGAGTGTGACATGCTGACATGTCACATTCAGCGTGTGTGACATTCAGCCTGTCCTGACATGCTTTGGGACACAAGTATTGGGCTGGCTTTCAACAAGTGGTGGTTAGTCAATACACAAATTTTAATTGGAGCGTCACTTTCTGCTGTGTTCGAGTATTTCCTGAATTTGCAAGGAGTGAACTGTATCTGCAGTTCACCAGAAGCCAGTTTGTTAGACTTCTTGTTCCTCCAGTTCTCTGCAAAAGTAAGGTGTTGGTATCCAAAGTGCTTGTAAACTGGTACCCAAAGTGCTTGTAATTCTTTGAAACAGAGTTGGGGAAATAATTGTTCTAGTTAAATATGCATTCTGCTGCAAAATTTAAAACACCTCTTGTTCACCTTCTCCATACTCTTCCTGTTTTTCTCATTTTCACCATTCTCCCTGTAGCCTAAAATCTCTATTTTCTTCCTATAGGTAACTGTAGGTCTTCTGCAATAAAATAGTGAAAAATGACACTTGAATAGATTCATGAGAACCTAGGGAGTGTGACCTGTCAACTCAGGTTGACAAAGACAGCTCTGCCCAAGTCCAAGATCACCTATGTCTTTGTCTTTCCTTGACAGAAAACTGTTGAAACTCTTTCTGGATACTGAATGAAGGTACTAGGTACTGTGTTCTAATCCCTTACTGCTTCAAAAAATGTCCTGAGATTGCTGTAAGTCAAACTCTTTTATTATATATTCTGTTTGTATTGTTAAAGCAATTTTATATATCTGAAAACTGTTACAATGCTTTGTTTCAGTTTTTCCTTATGGATCAGGATTTGTAAATCTCTGAGATGATTCACTGTCTTGCAACCTCCTTCTTTGGTCCACTTTTCCAGTAAGCATGGCACCCCAAGCTGCACTGAGTGATCCAGTTAAAACCTCAGTGTTTAATAAAGGAATATTATTTAGTGTATGCAAAAATGCCATTGACCAAATGTAGTGTCCTTCCTTTTCCTAACACACCATTGCCTGCAGTGTGTAGCTCCTGTCACTCCCTATCCATCTCCATGCAATTCCTGCCTACTCAGATTTTCTTATTTTATGCTTCTCCAGATGATTATTCTGAAGAGTACTATTTTGCACTTCCTGTTGAAGCTTTGGTCTGTGACAGCTTAGCTGACTGAATTGCAGCAGACAAGTTACTGGAGACTGAACAGAAGGAATGTGAGAAGGAACCATTGAAGATTTTGTACTAAAAGTATCAGGTGGTTGTGAATGACTGCCCTTGGGAAATTCACTTTATACTCTGGCCAGAAATGTTTCTTCTTAACATTTAGTTTTGCTTTTTGATTAGTCTGTGTTTGTACAGCCTCCTCTTGGAGGGACAGGCTGGAAATTTGTACCAGTATTTGCTTTTGCATGCTCAAACGCTACTGTGTTTCCTGAAAAAAAAAATTCTAGAAAACAGCTATATCATGCAGAAAACAGAAGTTCTCATAAATTAAGCCTCTAACAATATGAAAAGGAATACAAGAAGGTAATTTTACAATTCCTTGGTCTGTTCTAATTTTGGTTGTGTGGAGATTCCTATAAGACATGAAAATCTTGCTTGTTTACTTACATGACAAAAGAGGAGAAAGGCCTTTTTTTTTTTTAGCAGAACATACTGTTTGAACAAACACCATAGTGAAACAAGACAGCTAAAGGCAATGTAAGTCTATTCTTTTTTATTGTTTGTAGTCTTTAGAAATTTTTGTGTCTAAGAATAAATTATTTTTCTTTTCATTTCACATTTTCATTTCTTTTCACAATTAATTTTCATGTTTGTGAAGTGCATGCCTACAGTTAGTTTTTATGACAGCAAACTGTTCCTTCTTTCAGTTAAGTTTACAAAAATTGCACACTCTGTGGAACTACTTTAACTTTTATTTGGAGGCATTATCGTCTTAGCAGTGGACTTGCAGGCTGCTTCAGAAATTCTGAAGGCTGCATATTGACTTAGAAAATGTCTCAAAAACCACAGGCACACCATTTGGTGTTTTGGTCTGTGTGCTGTTCCACAAGCACTCCTTTAGACATGGGGGACTGCACAGAATCTCTGCAAGACACAGGGTGATTGCAGTGGAGCATTTTGCCTCTGGTTTACAAGCTGTACACCAGCACAGTGTAAGGGTTAAGGACAAGATAAAATCACTTGCTGCTGTTTTGATTTCCTGAGGAGTTGTTTTCTTCACATGAGAAATGAGGAATGCAGTAAAGACCATTCCTGTGCCAAAATTTCAAAGTATGTTTCTGTCAACTGTGGTGCCATTCATAGGTTTTACATCAGAATCTTAAATTTGGATATAAAGATCTCTGTTGTAGAAGCCCCATCTTGTGGACAACCAATCAATGACTACTTCAGCACAACTGAAATCTGAAATACTTAGAAAATCTGGAGATATTTTGGTAGTTTTTGCAACAAACTGGAGAGTCTTTGTATTTCTGGAAAATATGGAGACTTCATTCATGTGTAGAAATCAGCATGTGCTTTCCAAAGACTATTTCCACAGGAAGATATTGTGAATTGCAGAGAGGTATTAACACTGGGGTGGAACCAAGGATGGTGCCCTCAGAACCCTGTTTTAAGTACAAATCAGCTAAAACACAAGCCTGAATCCTGGCTTGAATTCCCAAAATAGTGTCCTGTAGCACTTGGATAGTACAAATGAGTCTTTAAGTGGCAAAATCATATAAGGGCAGAAGGACATCCTTTGAAAAAAATTGTTAAGAGAGAAAGAATAGCAAAGTATGCATGAAAACTGAATCTGGAGACTTTGGAAAAATCCTTAAGGAGATTGTTTGTTTCAGCACAAAGCAGTGGATGAGGTCAGCAGCTCCAGACTCAGTGAGTCAACACACTTAGTAGGAAGTAAAAAGAGTATGAAAACAAGGCTGTGATAAAAGCTATTTTCAGGTTTCAGTGTGACCTTAGTAGGATATATTAGATATATTCTATTAAAGCGGATTATATGTGCATATAATTAGAATGTCTTTTTGATGCTCTGAAGAAATAGGGTTGCTCTATGGTAGTTTTCTGTTTCTTCCATGAAGAAAGTAGGATCCTTCATGATAGTTTTCCGTGTAGTAATTAAGGCTGTACTGAAGGAGCCAGAAAATGTGGCGACATCTAGGGAAAGGTTGGCAGAAGTGCCTGCAACTGAAACAACTCCCACTGAAACTGTGGCCACTTCTTTTTCTGTGAAGGTGGCGTATGCAGGGAATGTTTGGTTGGAGTGGCTTATTTGGAAGGGATGCCGAGAGTAAAGAAGGTTCTGGCATGGGAACAGGGTGCCACTGCAGCCCCTTTGATGGGAGCAGGACAGGGGTTGCTTTTCCTACATGTGAATGTCTGACTGAGCAAGGGGATTAACAGGGGCAGAAGTTCAGAATTTGGTCATTGCAAAGCCAGGAAATAATTTCTTAGTCCTTACCAGTAGTAGTCTGGAGGAATCTTCACTTTTAAGACATACCAGTTGCAATACATTTTAAAATTACCCTTAGAAGTGAGTGTACATCTGCCACTTCACAGTCTGAGTTTCAAATAACTGTTTCTTTCATATTGAATTGAAATAATGAGATTTGCGTCATTCTGTAGTCTGGGAAATTCATAAACAGCTCATTTGTAACATATATAGATCTGAAAAATCACCTTTCTTAATCAGCTAACAGGTACAACTATAAATGCACATTATCTGTATATTACTAATAAATTCACAGAAATATCTGACTCCTTTTGCTTCTCATATTCTTTTGGAACAGAATTCTACATTTTTGATGGAGGGCATCTTTGGTGAATTGTCTGACCAGTGCAAAATCTTTGAGAAAAATGTATATTCCAAATTGTTACCTCAGTCTTCTCCTTAAGGAAGAGAATGTTAAAACTTTAGCAATATACAGAACTACAATTTTTCCCTGAGAGCAAATTCTGCTGGAACCAGCATGTGCAATCAAAATCTTTCTTAGTGTGAAGTGAAGCCATGAAAGGATCTTTGCAGCTTCTTTCAGTGGAAGTTGTTTCTTCCTCAGGACACAGGGAACAGCAGATGCTGATTGACCCCTCAAGGGAAGAGCAGATGAAGTGGGAACAGCTACTTAGAATTCCCTGCACTTAAATAATAAAGCATGAACAGTTCAGCAAGAGGAGTACAGACAGGTATTAGTATGTGTGAAGTCTAGAGGAGCTGCAGCCTAGGAAAAGAAAGTGAAGATGTAAAGCTTGTCATGAAAGGGTGTTGGAAAGCAAGGATTTATTCCAGCAGGGTTAAGGGAGGGAATAAGGGCTGCTCCACCAGGTGAGTGCATTGTAGTACAGAGCAAGGACAGGTCTTGGTGTAAAGGACAGACTATTGCCTTATTCTCAGCAGAAGGCTCTAGAAAAAGTAATTCTTGGTAAAAGCAAAGTCTCTGAAGGAGTAGAAGAAAAGGGTATAATTTAGTGATACTTCTTGGATTGGATTGTATTATAAATTACAGGTGTTTGTTGATGCCCATATGAGAAAGAAGGAAACTGATTACATCAAGAGCAATTTGTTGTACCTTCCCTGCTTAGGTACAATAAAGTGTTCAGTTGCAGAGGGTTCCTTGCTAAAAGTTGCAGAGTAGTATTTATTTCTCATAGATTTTTTTCAAGAAAATACAGCAGAACTGGAAACTCAAAGTTTGAGTGTAAACCTGCAGTAATCCACTGTCAGAAGAATTGTGTAGGTGTATAAAATTGATTTCAAAGGGAATGAAGAGGTGTGACTTGTGAATTGCTGCTTTTTAAAGATAAAAAATTAGTTCACATGTAGGTCATGTTAAAAAAAGAAAGTAATTTTTTGTCCTTATCTCTTTATTATGCACATTTTTATAGATTTTTTGGTTGCCTCTAGCCTTTCTTCTATTTTAAATATTCTCAAAATTTTATTGAGATTAAAATGTTGACAGTTGTAATAATACTGATATATCAAGTGATTTAGCATTAGAAAAGAGATTTTCAATGGCAATTTGAAAACAAGGCTTGATGTGTTATGTCAATCCAAATCTATGCAGCTGAACCTTGAGCACTTGTGTTTGTAATGTATAAAATTGTTCTTTTAAAGCTGTCTCTGTCTTGTGTCCCTTCCTCTCCAGCCCAGTCCCTTTGTCCAGAGCTGTGCTGGTGCCCCATTGCTGTGACCCCATTGCACCAGTCACCACCAGAGGATCCACTTCCCCAGGGATGGATCCTGGTCCCTGTGCTGTATCAGCCAGGAGAGGAGAAGGACAGACCCTGCTGTCACCAAGGACACCCCAAATCTCTCCTGAGCCTTGTCCAAAAAGGTTCTGTAATTTACAGTTCTTTATGGTAGGACACTTCTTCTGGTATTGTCATGAGCATTTTAAAATGTTATCAGACAATAATTTCTATCACAACCTTTAATTCTGTGTTTCTGTTTCAAATTTTCCTCAGTTCAATCAGAACCAAAAGTTAATGCCCGTTGGCTAATTTCCAGTGCATGCCTCCACAGAACAACTGCTGCCTTTAACTGGTGGAGAGATCAAGGCTTGAACTGACAAAAGACATCTGTATTTTGGAAAACAAATTAATGTTTATGTTTTAATTTATAAGTTCCTGGCTCTTTTATGGTTCCTGTTTTTCAAGTAATGTCTCTTTGGATCCCTAGCTGATGGAGAGTCAAAATGGAAAAGGCCCATGAGAGAATTATCACAATAGAACATCTGGTCTGCATTGGAAAAAGCTGAGAAAGATATTCAACATCTCTGAGACTGAGGCAGCCATGAGGCAGTTTGAAAGTCAGTCCATGAAAAATTGTGCAGGTTGTGGCCACCTGGGCCAATCTAGTGTTGTTTTGGGAAGAGCTACTCTGCTCATGAGCGTCTGAATTTTAATCTCCCTTGAGCAGGGATATGTGAGAGCTGGGAGTGGTATGAAAGGTGTTTGCTTTCCATAATGTTAATCTGAGTCCCAGCATTGTCCTAATTATATTGTGGGTTTTTGCCAGTCTCCCAGATTTCTTTTGAGCACGTAGGCTGGAGTCAAAAGGCTTTCCCAGGGCTTTTGGCATAGCTTTACAGGAAAGTGGATGGAAAGGACTTTGTATATTTTTGCAAGAATATTTTGCATCCTGCTTTAAACTATTCCAGAAGGTAAAAGGACATTAGCTAGACTGTGTTGGCTCATGTACTGCTATGTCACTAATGAGAAGGAGTTTTATTCCTGTTTTCTGCAGTCACAGACTGTAAGAAATGCAAAGAAATCATGGACCAACCAGGGTACCCCTGGATTCAGAGGGAATAAACTCCTTCCACCACATGGAACTTTGGTCCTTTAAGTCATTATAGCTCATGCAGAACAGAAACAATTTGACATGTATAACAAGAAACATTGCAAATTGTTTGCCAAACAAAGACTTATACTGCAGATGGAAGAACTGATGAAAATTGTTTATAGATGGGGAACTAAATGTAGATTTTTCAAGAACAAGGTTGCTGTTTTCCTTGCCAAGACAAACAAATCTGATAGACCATCTCATTGCTTTAGGCTGCCTGAGGACCCACTGGAAAGTCTATGGACCTTTTTCCACAGAAAATTTGTGTATTGTCAATACATAAGTGTATTGTCCACAGTTACACTGTGGCAGCTGCAGAGGAAGTGGAAGGTTCTCAGGAATACATTAGGGAGAACTGGATTTTTGGCTTCTGAAACAGTGTGGAGTGCTTTTGGAAACTGTGGAAGTTTACAAGCTGGATGTTACTGCTACAAAAGGTTATCTGTGAGTAAAATATAATACTAATTAATCTGCTATCTTTAGATGTTAACATTAACAACACAATGAAATTGAGAAATCCTGTCTTCTAGAATTGCAGTTCCAAGGTGCCTTTATTCCTGTGAACATACCCTGGTGTGCATTTAGAGATTTTCAGTTACCTTTAGAAATCTGTGCACAGATGTTTTTGCAAAGCACTGTGTAATCATCCCAAACAATGGTTTTAATGGGCCAGTTATTTAGGAAATCATGTAATGAGAACATAAATACAATCCCTGATACTGACATAAAACATGTATTAGCAAAATGATATAGTTTGTATTTCCTTGATATAGAGCAGACCCTGGAAATACATAACTCATCATGTCCTTAAAATTCTGTTATATCTGTAAACATCTATATTGGCAGAGAGACCCAGCAGCATCCTGGGCTGCTTTAGAAAGAGCATTTTTAGGAAGTTAAAGAAGGTGATCACTGCCCTTTGCCCAGCACTGTATTAGCAAAATGATATAGTTTGTATTTCCTTGATATAGAGCAGACCCTGGAAATACATAACTCATCATGTCCTTAAAATTCTGTTACATCTGTAAACATCTATATTGGCAGAGAGACCCAGCAGCATCCTGGGCTGCATTAGGAAGAGCATTTTTAGGAAGTCAAAGGAGGTGATCACTGCCCTTTGCCCAGCACTGGTGAGGCTTCAGTGGGAGTGCTGTGCCAGCACAGCAGGAAGGACATGGACATGGTGGAGGGGAGGGCAGGAAAGGACCATGAGGGTGGGCAAGAGGAACATCTGTCCTGTGGCTGCCCAGGGAGGTTTTGAAGTTGACATCATTGAAGAAACTCCAAACTCAGCTGAGCAAGGTCCCGAGCACCCTGCCCTGGGTGATCCAGCTCTGAGCTGGGCTTGGGCTGAGTGATCTCTGGAGATGCTTCCAGACTGGGAATATTTGAGGCAGTTTGCTTGTGTCTTGTCAGTGTTTTAGCTGCAGCTCAACTGTGGAGGAATCCTAAGGAGAGCAAAGGCTGTGACCCCAGAAATTCATCCAGATGGCTGAGGCCCAGAAAAGGCATAATGGGAGCTCCTAAGTACTCAGAATGTCTCATCAGAGTGATATTTCACTTGAAAATACAAAATAGAAATTACTTGGGTCTTAATGACACTGAATACCCATAATGTTCTCTCACTTCAGCTGGACTGCAGATGGTAACCTCTCTCTATCTGAACATGTTTATTTTAGTTTAATCTTGCTCTGTACAATCTTAACATATATTTTACTCTAGAAATTAATACTTTGTGCTTTACAGTGCAGAATTTATTTGCTTGTTTGTTCCACACTTTCTTTCCTTTGTAGTACTGATATTAACAAATTACAATCTACTTTGACATATTACTTCAGTAATAAGCACATACTGTGTCTCAAGGAGTTGAAAATATCCTAATTTGAGCAAGGTGAAATCAAAATATATAATTACATTGCATATTCTATGGCACTTAGTTTGTAGCTATTCTTACAGTACCTTCAAAGTAAGAAGGAAGATGAAATTCAAAAAGGGCTTTCATAGTTGAAAAATATTTATGTTGAAACAAGATTTATGTTGAAAGGCAAAGATAATTTTTTAAAATCATCTGAATAGTGGTAGGAATATTCACCTGTGGTTTTTCTTTATGAAAAGGAGCTAACTTGCAGTATTGAGAATTTCCAGGTCCTTCTTCTTTGGAAAAGTCTTTGTCTTTTATATTGCCTCTTAAGGAAAAAGGAAAGCACACTGGAAAACAAGAAATTGAGCAACATTGCACAAGTAATTAGGTAATAAACAGATTATAAAACATTTTATTTCATTTTGGTTTTGCACTTCAGCAAGTGAAACAATAAGTAAATAACCTGTTTCTTTATTATCAATATATGCAGTCACATTAGGTCTGACAGACCAAGGCATAAATGTATAAATGACACCTGTGATAATTAAATGTTAGAGGACATCAGATTTTCCTGGGGATGAGCCCATTGTGAAACCACAAAATTAAGACTTCAGAAGAAAATAGCACATGAAGGTCAAATGTACTTAGTCATTGGTTCAGCAACCAATTTCTCTGCACCACTTTCCCCTGACTTAATGTTTTTACAGCACATCTCTGATTCAGTCTCCTCTATCCTGTGTGGGATGGGGTTTCTGGGGGGAGAGTATTACTTTAAATTGACACCTTTAGCAGCAGTTCCTACTTGTACTGCTTTCCCTTTATAAATGTGTAACCTATTATATCTATCCAAGCCTGGCTGAGCTCCAAGCCACCCATTTCTCAGTAATACAGGAAATTAAATCTAATGTCTAATAAGCGTAGAGGCTTATGCAACCTTCATTCCCTGTAAAAAGTATTAAATAACATAATAATATTACCTTGTCTTTTGATTGCTAGAGAGCTGTGCACTTAGTTTTTATGTAGACCAAACTGGCTCTGCATTGGGGCTTGAAGAGTCTGGTTTATCCATCCTTTTTTGCAGACTTACTGAATTTCACCTGGAAAATTCTCCTCTTATTAAAGGACCCCCTGAAATGTTCATATGTAGGGTTTGGTCCCTTTCTCCACTCCTCCCTTTGTTCCCACAGAGGGCTGTGTGCCCCGTGATCTCATCCTGGGGGTGCTGCTGCTTTCTCATTCATTCTCTCTCCCCTGGGATTTTCCAGCCTGAGCACATTTCTGCCTGTTCCATCCCATTTTCTGATAATACCCATCACATCTCTGTGTCAGGTGGTGCAGCCTTTAAAAATGCAGAAATCTGACTTTAGGCTGTACAGGTTAGCAACATAATTTCAGAGCTTTGTCTCCTGCATGTGCCAGTTCAATAAGTGGATTTATACTGAATAATTTTAAACTGTTACAGCCCTCTGAAATAATTTCTCTCTTGCTGCTGTAATACATAAAGTGGCATAAGGTCACTGATGCTGTGGAAATTGGTTTTGGAGTTGATATGCTAATTCAGCAAGAAATCAGTTCTAGCAGAAATGCAGAGAAAATTGTTTTAATCTAGTGCCATGCTACTTTGTTGGCTTTTAGGAAAGAGATAATTAAAATATTCAAGGAAGTTCCAAGTCTGTGTAAAAAGTACCATTTTGGAGATTTAAGGTTATTTGTGCCTCACAGTTTATTAGCTTCTTCTCTGAAAGCAAATAAGCTGAATGTGATGGATACAAATATGACATTTTCACATGCTCAAAAAAATAAGAAATAAGATTTTTTTTTTAACTGAGTTCTGTATAAGAATAAACTTGGTTCAATCTTTTCTGTGTCACTCACCCCATGTTTACAGTAACTGCTTCTGCAATTCTGTGGATGAAAACTTCATGCAGATACATCCAGAGCCATTAATGAGGATGCATTATGCAACTAATTGCAATGGGGAACAAAATTACATTAATGGTGCCTAAGGAGAAAGAGAATCTCTGCACTCAGTGTGAGTAAGGGGTAGCCAATGCCTGTTTTTTTTCCAAAACAAATATTTAAGTTGAATTGAAAACGATAGTTGATCTCTGAGAATAATCACTAGGAGTTTGAAAGTCCTATATTTTTTTCAAAACCCTGCACTTATACTAAGGAAATTTCAAGCATAAAAAATAAAATAACTTTAATGCTTACTGTGTGAATATGCCAAAGGAAAAAAAATTAGCAGCATAAACTCTTTAATCTTTTTGAGATGAAGAACAGAGAAAATAAAAATGCATTTCTAAAAAACATTTTTAAAATATCTGAATTGTAAAAGTAGTGCTGTCATTGCCATATTTTAAAAGGTATTTTAATTTTATAATAAAAAAAGATTACATTTTACTCTCTGTTCTTTTCTAAAACAGGTGCAGTGCTGCTGTTTGCAGAGGAAGGGCACCAGCTGCAACAAGAGTAGTGTCTGTTCTAGAGTGAGGGATGAGCTCCACTGGGCATGAGTTGGCTTCCCTGGCTGCAGGGCTCAGTATTTCATTTCAGCAAGTCTGACATTGCTCCAAGTCTTCGTCTCCTCCTGCACTTTATGCTACTGCCAGGACAGGCTGTATGTTATTGAAGAGAGAGAAGTAGAAAATGAAATTCAGTGTTTTATTTTATGCTCCCCAAGTTTACTCAGACACACCCAGAGAGAATGTGTGCTGCACTCAACTTGGAGATCTTGTGTTAGAAATCCTGGCTCCCCCGTGCTTTCCTGCTTTGCCTGTAGCTGATAAGAGAGTTCATAACAGGAACCCCCTGTTACCTCAGCTGCAAAAGGTTCTGAGAAACTAACAGCCAAGAGAATGGAATTTGAATTTATTTTTGTTTGTCTTGTGTTTCAGCAAGCATTTAAAAGATCCCCCAGTTTGTCTTTGTCAGAGATTGTTTTCCTTTTGGCTTAGGATGGACACCAGTCTCACTGTTGAGTTTACATTTATGGAGTGGGACCCAAGGTTTTCCAGTGTTAAGATTTTGACTTTGCAATACTTGTTGCTTGGGATAGGTGTAAAGGTCATGTCTGCATGTACAGCAAGAACAGAACTGGAGTGTGGATGCTGCTACTTAGTCAGTTGAGAAGGAACAAAAGTAATCCTGAAGGCTGCCTCTCCTCTTGGCTGGCAGGCGGAAGAGTTGGTAAAAGCTGCAAAGACAACTGAGTATAATGATGGTATTTATTCCACATTTTATTTCCTAGGTGGATTTTGAGGACTAGTTTCTAAAATGTAGTTATTTTACTCTCCTTTAGCAAACCATGTGTGGCCACAGCTATTTTTCCAAAATGCCTGGTTTTCTTGCTTTTGTTGCCACCAGTCGAGTTCTCACTCCACATAGCAATGTCCACAAGGTGGTGCCACAGCTAAGAAATTTGCAACAAATAAGGCAAAAGTAATTTGATAATTCTGTCTGCTTTTTGTAACTGACTAAAGTAGCTGCATCATTAAGTAATTAATTATTTCATAAGCCAAATATCACAGGTTTGCAAGCTCTTTTTTAAACCACTTGTGTGAGCAAAGGTGGGCCTGTCTGCTGAGCAAGAGCAGCATCCACAAGCCTGTGACAATCCCAAATCCTGTACAAAAATGAAGAGGCAACTCAGGGTTTAGCAGACAGGCTGATGAAGAGCTGTGTATTTCCTAGCAGGATTACCTGTGTCAACACTGGCATGTGTCTTATGTTTTTATCTGATCATTTCAGCAGGAATCAACCTGAATCCTGACAAGCAGAAAAGTTCATCCACAGCTTCAGCCAAGACAGCTTCTAAAAACCCTAGAGTGGCTATGGCACATCAGACCCAAATCTCCTGAGTTTTTCCTAGAGGCAGGGATAACCAGGCTCCCTGTCCTATGCTAATCTACAGCTGACTGTTAATTCCAAAGGGTGTGAAGTGCTTACAGAGGGACCTGCACTGATGCTCAAGTTTCCGAGCATCTTTCTAGAAAAAATCAGACTAGAGAAGGTACAAGGCAGTAACAGGGAATGGAAGAAGTCACGTGTCCAGTACACAAAAGACAATAAAACTTCCATAAAAAGTTGTTTGTAGGGATCTGGATGACTTCTGTATGTCCCAGAAGAGCTGAAGTGCAGCAGGTCTTGGCCGTGCCCCTGAGAAGGTGTGTGTCAGTTCTTCAGCTACCCTTGGCCATGTAGTGCTTCTTGCACCCCTGCCCTGCTCCCCTCAGTGGCCTCTGCAATCCAGGTATTTGTGCTAGTACAAAAAATAAAATACTCCCTGTCAGCTTCTGCAGTGGACAAATGAAGTTTGAATCATTTGTTCATTATGTATTTTTGTACCAAAAGCAGCAAGAAAAAGGGATACCTTAAAATACCATTCAGACAAGCAGTGCATTGACTTGCCTCCAGCTAGAATCTCTCTTTGGTAGGCCTGTAGCAGAAAGAGAAAAATAACAGGGTTTGCATAATGTTTCCTCTAAATTGCTACATTATTATTTTAAAACATACTAAAATTCTTCTGGCTAGTAAGAGACTCAGTGGAAATTATGTATACCTAGGAAAGATGGTTTGTCCCCTAGTTACAAAGTGGAATGAGAGTTAGAAGCTTATTGAGTCCAATTCTAAAAGTTGTCAAATAACACAATGGCCACCTATTTTGTTTTTAAGGATCATATCTATAAATTACGTGTAAAAGTGATTTACATAGTTTAAATGGTTCACAAGTATTTTGAAACTTTGTATTGGTTTCAATATCTGTTTGAAAAAGTCAGTATCTAACCTGAGAACTAACTAGAAATATAAAGTCATGAACAGGTCAAGTAGAATTAATTTCTGAGTCAGTCTGTTGAGTTAGCTTGAACTAACTGAATCATTACACTGACATTGTCAGAGTATTCCTGTAAGATTGTTCTGAGTGTATGGCTGCAATGTGTCTTGCAATTAAATTGACATATTTCTGGTTTAGTTTGGACTTTGCTTTTTCTTTGACTTTGGAAAATTCTTTCAAAAATGTTTACTTTTCAGATATTTTGCACAGAGAAAAAATGATGCTCTATTCTGAAGGGAATGAATGACAGAGTATCTAAGATCATACATCTAAGTCTCCACGGTGTGGAAGCCCCAGGTATGCATTATTTTAGCAATTCAACAACAGAGTTGAAATCCTGAACACTCTCCCTTGCAGTATTTACAATAATTTTCTGCTTTTATTTGAAATCATAAGTATTTTTAAAAGATAAAAACTGTTTTTTCCCTAAGCCTGATTTTCTGGATTCCCATTTAAGCAATCATGAACAAAACCTGCTTCAGCTCTGTGCCTGAATCATCCTGGGAGGAGGTGACTTGCAGTGTTGTGAGTTAGGAGGCTGGCTCAGAACTCCTCCTGCAGATGCAGGCGCTCACCGGAAGCAATTGAGGATGGCAGTGGTATCCTGCAGGATGTGTGCGACTGCTCAGCGGGGGCTTGATTTACACGGGGACACATTATAGATTATACATTCTGGTAATTGTGGTATTGTTATTGCTGGGCTGGATCTCAGCACAGGAAGTACATATAAGCACGTTTGAAGTGATAACATCCACTCCTGTTTAAAAAGCAATATTTTATTCTCATACATAATGCAGCGTTTGCAAAGGAAAATAGATAATTTGCTAACTAGTACTTAGCATGACTTGTAGGGAAAAAGCTGACTCATTATGGGAAGGTCACAACCAGCATTTACAAATAAATCCACTTAACTTTTAATAATTTTAATTTTTTTTTCAGTATGGACTGTAATCCAAGATCAGGAAGGAGACAATGCATTGTCATCTGAAACACAACGAAGATCAAAATAAGTTTTCAGTGTGTCACCAAAACCACAGTGCTAGGTTTCTGTTAAGGAGAATGAGTAATACCATTCTAGCTGTAAAGGTTGCTGTGAGTGGGTAATAATTCCATCTGATAGGGCAGATTATGTATTCTGCAAGAAAATGAATAATCCCAGGCAAAATCTTGCCCTATTTCTTCAGCTCAATAAGAAAGCCATACCCACCATACCCACTTAGCTGAAGCTGCTGTATGCATACTTGTCCAACTAGGATTCAGGAACAGGTCTGTTCTCCATCCTACATGCCCATCCTACAAGCCTTGTTCAGGAACACATTGCCTCCAACCTTGGTGTGGAATGAGGAATCTGTTCCTGCTGCTGCTCCCAGGATGTGGGATGTGGGTTGACCCTCAGCTCTGCAGCTGCAGACAGTGTGTGTCGAGGCCCCTCTCAGAGCCTCTCTCTCCCTTTCTCTTGAAGAGTGTAGGCTCCAGACCTTTCTGGGCACCCAGGGAAATTGGTGCCCAGCCAGGGCTCACCCAGGTTCCCTCCTGGAGGGGGATAGGAATCTGTTCAGAAGAGGAATGCAATAACCATTTCAAATTTTGTGTGCCAGCCTATTTTCCACAGACAGCACAAATTGACAGAACACAGGTAACATATTGTTCATGCTGTGCCTATTTCTTACTTTGTGTTGCCAGGGAAAATAGATTAAAATTGGTATTAAGTTTCCTTCTTGTTCTTCCAATAATAGAAAATTACCAGTGAAGAGAAAATAAGACAGAAGTTTTGTTCTCTGGAAAAGTCTTCCAGCTAAATGGTTTTTTTTTCAATATTATGAAACATTCTTGCCTGCCTTAATAGATGAGAAAAGTAACAGTAGAACTGTGAAACAAATTAATACATCAAAAATATTGAGCCATGGACCATAGCTAAATCTGTATTCATATTTGTGATAGTGTTGCAGATGGATAATACAGTGCTGTACTGATGCTATGTTGTATACATTGATTTGTTGCAATGACAGCTATGGGTGAGGTTCTAAACAAACACTGCAACATATAATAAAGGACTGACCTACTAACAGATCTAATAATAAAACAGATCTAATAAAAACATCTAATAAGATGTGACAAGCACATACATAAACTAATCCAAAACCTAATGATTTATTTCACAGTTTCATGAAAAAAAAAAACTTTTTATTGTATTCTGTCTTTATTATTTAACATTAAGAATACATTTTCCTTAATAAATTTTAAATGCTACTGGTCTGAAATTATTGTGCAGACAGTCAAACTAACATTGAACAGAAGTAGTTTTTCCAGATGTTATACCTACAAAATTTTGAAATTATAATCCTGCTGATGCCTCCTGATATTAATATGCCTTTGCATTGGGGTAGCCTCATGACAGTCTTTTTTGGAAGTGTCACCTGCTTAAGTAAGATTTGATTTACAAAGTAATTCTAAGATAGGTTTAATTTTAATTAAGTTCTTCACTATTTTCCTGAATAGGAATCTCTGTCCCTAGTTTTAACTTGTTTAACTGTTTAACAAAGGAGCAGCTTCAGTTATATTGAGAGGACTTATGCAAGTTTTCACAGCTGATTGTTGGGATGAGAGCTGTGAAAACAAAGATCAGGTGAAGATCCTTTCTTGGAACACACTAGGATATGAGTCTCTATTTTTATTGGTAGTTCATAAGTCTATTAAATAGACAATAATAACTTAAATATATTTATATTTTTGTGTGTCATTGGAGTCAAACAGCACACCTACGTGGCTGCAGTATGTGTGACTCTTCCTGCAGTACATTCAGGTTTTGGCTTTCATTAGGCAGTAAGGCATGTTGCCTGCAAAAATATGACACAACTTGAAAAGGAGACTCTTAATTTCATATGGGAAATTTGTTTCATCCCTCTTTACATGACATCAAAATCACTTTGCCTTTAATTGTGACTACGGAAATGAAAATACCAGGCCACAGGATTTGCAATTAACTTAAGACATCCAGAGGAAATTCTGTAAGTTGCTTTCGTCTCTTTATTTTGCCTTTTCTGAAATCTGTCTGATTTTTGTTTGAGTTTATAAGAGCAGTTGTTAATGGAAATGTCTGTGTTTCCATTGAAGTGCTCTAACAAGCTTTTTGGTCTCACTTGAGCAGTGTAACAGGACACCCAAAACAACTGAGATGTCTTTAGGTCTTAGATATTTGGTTTCAGTATTCCATAAAATATTTGAAAAGGTAAGAGTTCCTTAAGCATCAGGAGACAGAGAGTTTAAAGATCAGACTGAGCCATGCCTCCTGCATTTACTTCTCCAATAAATCTGTCAGGACACTGACCAGCTGGGCTGCCAGATGTATTCCTCCACATTTTGGGTAAGTAATCACTTGGGCCTGGGATCTACTGGACAGGCTGTGCCTGAACCCATTTGCAGTTCTTTTAGGTGACATACTAAAGTGGTCAGCATAAGCTTAAAAGACTTTATCCAGCACTTTGACAGCATGCCAGAGGAAATTCCTTGGGATTCGGAGTCTAAGATTTCATTTCAATTAATTGTCAGAATGATGAATATTATTTATTCCACTCTAAGGCTCATTTTAATCTAAAACATGGTCAGATGGTGTCAATGCAGGCAAAATGTTATTTCTTCCTGCATAAGAGCCCATCTAGATATAATCCAGTTTGCTCTCCTGTCTCTAGATTTGGTCTGAAAGGATAACAGGAGTGGAGACTGCAGCTGGCCTAGGATTCCCTGGCACTTGAACCTCATCTAATTAGGCAAGTCTATTTTCCCACCAAATAAAATTATTAAAAGCAACAACATTATGAATTGAAACTCCTCAAAATTGTTAAATTCTGTCCAGTTTGGAAGAGGAGCTTTATCAGGCATTGGAGCCCAGTGGGCAGAGTGCTGGGCAGGGATTGAGAAATCTGAGTTCTCTTCCAAACTCTCCTGACTTTTAAATGACCTTGAGCTGTCACTTCTCTGTGCTGCAGTTTCACAGTCTGTATGAGCAGGATAATAATCCTCCACAAAGGTTTGAGAGTTGCTGGAGGAAGGATCTGTATGAACACAACATTTCTTGCACTAGCCTGAGCTAGGTGCAGCTGTGGTTAGAGGTGGCCAGGATTTGGTCAATTCCTCATCTCTTCCAGAAAATCTGGGAAATTGTCATTGCTAGACTCCCTGCTTTCAGTTGTCTGTCAAAACACATTTTCATGTTAAAGGTCTTTCTTATCTTCAGACCATTACAAAATAACTCCAGAAAATTTCATTTTATTTAGTTATGCATTAATACTCACAGTTCATACTCCTGTTACTGGGAGCTGCAAAGTGCCTCTCAGGATGATACAAATAATTACTTAACATGGATAATGTATCTTTGACCTAAAAAATAAAAGGCTTTTGCAATATTACGATTAGTATATGTGGGGGAAAAAATATCTTTTGGTTTATGTTGTAAGATATTTCAACTTGCCTTTCGGTTTGAAAAATTCCCCTTGAAAGGACAAAAATTTTTTTCAAATTATATCTTGATTTTACACATTTTGTGTCAATAGACAACAAGCTCTGTGCACAAAAAAGAACAGTCTACTTTCAAAACTGCTGAATGGTTTGACCTCAAGGGAATAGAAACTGTTGACTCATTGTTTTTACTGCATATAATATTAGTCCTTTGTCACATCCAGGGAATGACATCATCTTCCTCATTGTTAGCAGCAGGTTTGAATAACAGAAAAAGTGCAACATTCGTTGTCTGCTGTGTTTTTTCTTAATAAATGAATGGATATCTGGTACCAAGAATCAGATTAGGGGTTTTGAGTAACATTTAGAAGGAGTTTGTGCCCAGACCCTGCAAAGAGCTTTGCTCCTGGCCACCATCTGCAGGGCAGTGGAGCTGGCTGGAGCACGGAGCCTGCGGAGGGAACATCACTGGTGGTTCTGGCTGCTCCAAAGTGATAAGAGAGGCAGGAAAGAAGAGACTAAGCACAGAATGAAACAGATCTGTTCTTCAAGGTCAGCTTAGTAAAAGGAATCCCTGCACTTCTGTGAATCATACTTCTCTGGAATCTAAATTTATGAAAAGTAATTATCTGAAAAGAAGTCATCT